TATAATGATTGATAACATGATAAGGCCTATGTCTTACATTTTTGTTGATAGTCACACGTTTATTCCAAATGGTCACGATACAGGTCACAAAATATTTTGCACATGGCTCATGTTTTTTTTTATATTCACATGTTATTTTCAAATGGTCACAGCGCAAGTCACATAATATATTGCACACGACTCACGATTTTGTTCATAGTCCCATGTTATTTTCAAATGGCCACAGTACAGGTCACATCATATTTTTGTGCATGGCTCAGGTAACAACATAGGTCACAACACAAGTCACAACATAGGTCGCAGCACTGGGCTCAGGTCGCAGCACATTGCTCAGGTCACAGCATTGATCACATAGACTACACAGCATCACCTCACCACCACCACCGTCTTGCATGCCCTAACCCTACTTCGTCGCTGCTACTCACCACAACAAACCATCACTAACATCGCCAACACAGCCTCACCAATCAACGGTAAACCAAAAAATCATGACAATTTCCAGCACCAACAATATCGTCGCCACCACCACAAAAATTATTAGATCCACAAAACCACCACCCACTCCACCACAAAATTATTGCACAACCACCGCAAAACAAATATCCAAATCTGCACAATTGCCACCACCATCGTTTACATAACACCCGCAACACACACACACCAACACCACCATCTCCCCCTCTTAAACTCCATAATTGAATCACAAATTTACAGAAAAATCACCCAATCTGTATTATCGAAGAAATTAGTGCGAAGTTCAAAAATCACCCGGTCTGGACGGGAATCAGCGATTCACACCTCTGCAAGATGCTCGTGAACGAGACACCGTACAAAGTGCTCTCTGTTGAGGAGGTGCCGACGGTATTGTGCGATGGTGGAAATGTTGAGAGAGAGGGGGCGGCGATTGGTGCGAAAAGATCCGCACGGCTTGGCCCCCAAATCAACCTGTGGGCGACGCGATTTGTGGTTTTGTGGCTCCGCACGACATGACCTCCGATGTCTCCTCCAACGACGACCCATTTCGGTGGCTTAGTGGCGACGCAGTAGGAGAGGAACC